TTTTGTACTTAACTCGAGATTTAGGAAAGCTACAGGGCTGATGCTTACAGAAACCGTTTCAGAATCATCAGACGCGTTCGTCTGTTGAATCTAGAGGCCTGAACTGGGTCTGCTACTCGAGCTAGGTCCGCGAAACTATTAATATTATTCGAGTCATCTGGCTAGGTGCTGTCGGTTTTCTGTACTTCAGCTGTAGGACAGCCACAGAGCTGATACCTACAGAAACCCATTCAAAATTATCAGGCGCGTTCATCTGTTGTATCTAGAGTTCTGAACTCGGTCAGCTACTCGAGCTAGGTCGCGAATCTATTCGTATTACTCGAGTCATCTTGGCAGGTGCTGTCGGTTTTCTGTACTCAACTCGAGCTGTGGACATCTACAGAGCCCATACTTACAGAAACCCATTCAAAATCCTCAGGCGCGTTCATCTGTTGCATCTAGAGGTCTGAACTGGGTCTTCTACATGAGCTAGCTCCGCGAAGCTATTCGTATTATTCAGGTCATCTTGACAGATGCTGTCGGTTTTCTGTACTTAACTCGAAATGTAGGAGAGCTACAGAGCTCCTACGCACATCAATCGATTCAGCATCATCAGGCGCGTGCGTCTGTTGTATCTAGAGCTCTGGGCAGTAGTGAAATATATCTAGACGCCTGAGATCAGTCTGCTATCAGCGCTCGGGCTCAACAACTATTCGTTCTCTGCCAATTTTTTGGACATAATATGCGGCAAGGAAGCTCTACGAGTCTCCCGGCGGTAAGAAAGGTTGACGTTTTACCGCCGGCGCCCAGTGCCTCGTAGAGCTCTTCGGCATCGATGAGCTAGAGGAAGTCCGGCGCGGGGTGGAGCTAGTTGGTCGACCTGACCACAAAGGACAATGTGTTAACTTTGGGTCGGGTTTGCGAATATTTGAAAGATATTGACAATTTATTTTGAGAACGCAGATTTTTGCGCTAAGCATACGCATATAAGCTTTGTTCTCAGATCAGCTCAGCTCTCCCGAGGACGTTTTACTATGGGTTCACTTCCGGGAACCGACTTCGTTTTGATACCCAAAAATGTCAATTTGACATTTTTCTAGAAATACTCCAAGAAGCTTCTGCTTCGATCCTTAGCATTGTTACGCGTGCAGGGAACTCTACGAGGCTCCCGGCGGTGACCAGGTTGACGGTTCACCGCTGGCGCCAGTTGATCCACCCGGCCCGGGCGGACAATGTGTGAACTTTGGGTCGGTTGGCCGAACTTTCTGAGAGATTTGAACATTCGTTTTGAGAACCGGTATTTTTCGCACCTGTAGTGGGTTATGCCGCATCCGTCGGTAAAATTCTGAGGTCCGTAGCTGCAGTATTACTATCAAAACACTTGAAGCAACCGACTTTCGGTAACTGAAAAACGTAATGTTTAAGTTTTCCAGCTCACGCGTAAGAAAACTTCCCCTATGTGTTCCGAGCAGCGCCGTGCGGACAAGAGCTCTACGAAGCTCCGGCTCAAGCTCTGCGAGGCTCAAGGCTCCGCGAACGTTCATTTTCTCCTGCCTGGGGAACCTCCGCGAAGGTGAACGTTGAGCTAGCGTGTTGTTTTGCTCTGCTTACGCAACTGCCCATCTCCCTTTACATCCTGCTTGTCATTGTTGGTCTCTCATATCCATTTCTCGTTGCGGTTTGGTGGTGGCAATTTGTATACGCTGACTTGTTCCTCACTGCCTAGAGTGGTGCTCGTGAGTCTCTGTTCTTTCAGATCTGCCTTGAGTGGATTGCATATTGTTCAATTTGCAGTATTTCATTGTTGTGATCTCTCAGGTGTCCCCACACATCTTCCCTCAGTTTTCTGCCATATACCTATCATTTGTGGTCTTGTTTGTGCCAGATGCCTCATGTGCGGAGTCTCGCATCCAGGTGTTTGCGTCGGGCTCGGGCTTGCCAACTTGGATGGGTTCGACCGAATTGTCCTCTTCCGTTCGCCCGTGACACGGTCTTGCATGCAGAGTTGGATGCTCAGGCTAATAAGGTGTTGACAGCATTACTCCATCCCTCTGATAGCTGCCCGAAAGTTGATTCCGTTGCACTTCGCGGTTTTTCTTCTGCTATTGATGCTGGGGTCCAGGTTGACGAGGTCGAATATCCTTCTCAAAGCATTCGAGTATTTTTCAATTGATGCTGGTGTCCAGGTTGACGAAGTGCACTGTTCCTTTCAGAGCATTCGAGTGTCCTCAATTGATGCTGAGGTCCAAGTGCATTCTCAAAGCATTCGAGTGTCTTCAATGGGTGCCGGCGTGCAAACTCAGTTCACTTGCGAGGACGCCTGTGTGCAAACTCAGTTCGCTTCAATGGATGCTGGCGTGCATACTCAGTTCACTTTGAAGGACACCTGTGTGCAAACTCAGTACACTTTCCAGGACGCCGTCAAAACATGGATTGACAGGAGCACTGCCCAGAAAGGGGTTCATTGGCCAGACTGCGCTGCAGTATTTAATCCAGGGGCTTGAATTATTCGTAGACCTCATGACAGAGCCAATGACCAAACCAAAACATCATGTATCATTTTGGTTCCATACTTTGTTCAATCTCACGGATCATGTTCAGTCGTTTCTGGGAGAACTTTTGGATTGTCTCAAATCTCACCGTTTCGTGACGGGGAAAATGGACCGTGCCGAGGAGGCCAGGTTTAAAGCTCCAGGGTACATTGTCGATTGTTTCAGTTTTGTTCCAGACGGACTCTTCGAGAGTGCCAGTCGCGCAGACCCGCGGAGACTCGCTGCAGACACCCGGAGACTACAGCAAATGTGGGAGCCCCAAGAGCTCAGAATTACGTCGCCACGTGGACGAATCGCCTCTCCGTCGGGGTCGTCGTCTGTCCGTGTCGCTTCGGATGTGATAGCCAAGACTGGACATCAAAAGTTGGTTCCCGAATCTTCCCAAAGCATTCGAGTTTCTCCCGATAACGGTGGGAGCTCTAGAGGTAGCCGCCAAGGCAGAGGCAAAGGCAAACGATAGGGCAGCTTTGAACATGATTGTCTGCATACATTACCTCTCTGTGTATTGTACGCTGTATTGTATTGGATTGTTGATTGTGATTGCCTCGCGTGGTCTTTTGATTGTTGATTGTGATTGCCTCGTGTGGTCATTCTGTGCATTGTTTGAGTAATTCAGTGTGTGCATGTTCAGTTCTTGGCCAGGTCTCCTGGCTCTCTTGTCGTAGTTTGACGGAGCGCATCTGCGATGTTCTCCCACAGGTTGTGCGAACGTCTTTGGTCATGCATGTTTCTGTTTCTCTATAAGAGCGGACTGCTTGCTTGACAATTTTGAGGCTTCGCTTCGCCTGAGACTTCGTTGGACCTGGCCTCAGTGGCCAAGATGGTCCCAGCAAAGACGCAAAAAAACCTGGTTGACGGTTTACCGCCGGCTCCAGTTGGTCGACCGGCCCGGGCGGACAATGTGGTGACTTTGGGTGGGTTTTGCTGGGATGTGAAAGATATTTGACAATTCATTTTGAGAAAGCAGATTTTTCGCACCTGTGAACGACTATGAGGGCCTCTGCGTCTTGAAATGAGTTCTGTAGGCGCACATTTACTATCAAAACACCTGGCGGAACCAACTTCAATGTTCAATTTCACCTCGACATGAAAAAAATCAATGTTCAATTTTTCGAGAAATGCCTCCAGAAGCACTCTCTTTCGACTATGAGCACTCTCGCGCGTGGAAGGAGCTCTGCGAGGTTCCCGGCGGTGACCAGTTTGGCTCAAGCCTGTCTCCTCAGGCTGCCCCCTGGGTGGCCGTGTGCGCGCGGGCGGGCCGTGCGATGGCGGCTTGAGCACCTCTTGTCTCTGCAGTGGGTGGAGTCAGATTTGTTGTGTGAGTACCCCTTGCTGTGTGGTGCCATGACAACGCAATTTTGTACCTCGTCGATTTCTACTTTGTATGCCATATCCTATCCCGTTTCTTCTTTCCCATCCTCGTCGTGGCGGCGGAGAGCGAGAAGGCTGAGACTCGCCATGTTTCGACAAGCCCTCTTTGACATCCATACTCTGCAGTGCGTTCCAGTGGGGATGCAGTCTCCAGAGATGGTGCAGTCTTCAGCCGTGGTGCAATCTCCAGAGATCCGTGTGCTAGAGGCTCTGGGTGTGATGACTGAGTCATTCGACGGAGTCGCTAAACCCGATGGGCCAACTGATCGTGGGAAATCTTTCTCGTCTTATTCTGTTGCTTATTCTCCAGATGCGGTGCAGTCTCCAGATGGTGTGCTGGGTTCTGTTTCTTTTCTTCCTGGTGTTCAGAATGAGGAGCTGCAGGACGAGGAGTTGCAGAATGAGGATTTGCAGAGTGAGGAGGTGCTGAATGAGCAGTTGCATTATTCTCAGCATACTGTTTCTTTGGATTCCAGCTCTGAAGTTTGCCACGCTTCATCTCCGGACGCTCTGTCGGATTGTCTAGGGAAGGCTGGGCAGGAAGATCTTAAGGTGAGGAAGGAGGTGGAGGAGTCTCCTGATGTGGTGCAGCCTCGTGATGTGCTGCAGTCCTCGGATGGTGTGCTGCAGTCGATACTGATTTCTGTCTTTATTGACCCTGCGGTTCTGAATGAGGATTGGCAGGATAATCTTAAGACGGTGATGGGCGATGAGGTCGAGCATGCTCAGCCTGATTCTGCGGTTGACTGGAGCTCTTCAGTAACTAACAACAACAGCAAAAACTCGGAAGTGGTCTCTGTTTCTGTTGATCCAGGTGTTCTGAAAGAGGTTGCATGAGGGGGAGTTGCAGGGTGAGGAGTTGCAGAATGAGGCGTTGCGGAATGAGCAGTTGCATTATTCTCATCATAAAGATTCTATGGCTTCACACCTGCGGATCAGAAAATATGGCTTGAACGGCCGATTGTTACGGACAGGCATGCTATTGCCTCCGCCTGGCAACGCTGGCAACGTGGTTTGGATCCCAAGGCGCTCTGTAGCAGTGCTCCAGACAGTAAACCTCTTATATACACGGACCCCCACACATTCCAAGAGTTGAATATGCTTCAACGTCTTCTGGGCAGTGGCTACTCCCATGCGGATATCTCGTACTTTGAGGGCTGTCTGGTTGCAGCGGGCTGGGATGAGGAGCTCGGTGTAAACTCCGTTTCCTGTATAGAGTCACTTCCGCGGGGATGTGGTGGACGGTGGAGGAGTTGCTGCAAAAATCGGGTCACGGTGTGGCATGCTTTGCAGTGCAGCGAGGTCTGGGATGGTGCTTTCCGCGATGAAGAGCTCATGGATGATTTTCTGGAGTCGGTCGTTTCTCGTCTAGGACGTGACGGGGCGAGGATCTGGGAAGACGTTCGGCAAAGTTAGATGCTACTCTTGCTCATTTGTGATTGTGATCTTTGTTGGGGTTCTTGCTCTGCATGTCGTGCGTGTTCGGTGATGCATGAGCTCTCTCACTTTTATCTTGGTTGTTGAAATGGTGTATGACATCGAGGGGAGGTTGGGATCGTTTCTTTCGTGTGTTTGAGTGGTGCACGTTATCAGAGATTCAGTTATCACACATTTGACGTGAGCATACGACTCTTGTCTTACCGCGGGTTGTTACGGCATACTTCGGACTTTGTGTTTGCGCTGACTCTTGCCATGCTGTGTGTGTGTGTCGGGCATGCGCGCATGTTGGTATAAGAGTTCCGCGTGATCTTCACTTTGTTCGGAATAAGAGTTTTGCATTTGCCCACTCCCGCTCCAAGAGTGGTGGGTGTCTTGCCTGACTCTGTATGCCACCCGTTTTGTCTCAGTGGTGTTGAGACGGTAATCGCTGTATAAACCAGGGGTTACTGTATGGTCTCTCACTGCTTCTAGCTTTGCTTCCATATCTATGGTCTACATTGCTTTCCTCATGATATTTTTAGTTGTTGTCTCGTGTACTTGCAATCTTGTGCATTCTGTACAGCTTCGCTGTTTGATGCACCTTTTGCTTTAATTTTTGCAGCTTTGCTGTTAAGGTTCTCTGTGTCCTGGCCTGCTCTCCTGGGAGCTCGAACCGGCCGACGCAGACCCCGCAGACCAGGTTGACGGTTCACCGCCGGCGCCAGTTCTGGGGCGCTGGAGAGCTAGTTGGCAAGAAAAATCTCGACGGATCTTTTGCTGACTTTTGCTCGATTGAAATTTTTGTTCTCGAAATTCAACAATTCGTTTGAGCTCTAGTACTTCTTCCCATGCTATTCGATCTTATTCCCGCTCGCCATCTTAATCGCAGGTCGATCGGGTAGATCCTACTGCGAAAAAGCACACAGGCGGGATCGGCCGTTTCGGGTCATCTTGACACGCGGTGGCGGTTTTCTGTACATAACTTGAGCTCTAGGACAGCTACAGAGCTGATACTTACAGAAACCGATTCAGAATCATCAGGCGCGTTCGTCTGTTGCATCTAGAGGTCTGAACTCGGTCTGCTGCTCGAGCTAGGTCGGCGAAACTGTTCGTATTGTTCGAGTCATCTTGAGAGGTGCTGTCGGTTTTCTGTACTTAACTCGGGCTGTAGGGGGGCTACAGAGCTGGTGATTACAGAAACCGATTCGGAGGCATCAGGCGCGTCCGCCTGTCGCATGCACAGGTCTGAAATCGGTCTGCTACTCGAGCTAGGTCCGCAAACCTATTCGTATTGCTCGAGTCATCTCCAGAGGGACTGTCGGTTTTCTGTACTTAACTCGAGCTCTAGGGGAGCTTCAGAGCTGATGCGCACAGAAACCGATGCAGAATAATCAGGCGCGTTCGTCTGTTGCATCGAGAGGTCTGAACTCGGTCTACTACTCGAGCTAGGTTCGCGAAACTATTCGTATTGTTCGAGTCATCTTGAGAGGTGCTGTCCGTTTTCGCACGTAACTCGGGCTGTAGGAGAGCTAGAGAGCTCATACGCACAGAAACTGATTCGGAATCATCAGGCCCGTTCGTCTGTTGCATCTAGAGGTCTGAACTGGGTCTGCTACTCGGGCTAGGTCCGCAAAGCTATTTGTATTATTCGAGTCATCTTGACAGATGTTGTCCATTTTCTGTATTGAATTCGGGCTGTAGGAGAGCTACAGAGCTGGTACGCACAGACACCGATCCAGAAGCATTAGGAGCGTTCGTTTGTTACATCGAGAGGTCTGAACTCGGTGTGCTACCCGAGTTAGGTTCACAAAACTATTCGTATTCGACCGATATTTTTTTCCAAATGATGGTGAATTTCTTAACTGAACTCTTCGGCCGAGAAATCAGAAGGACATCGTGAGGCGCGAAGCATCTAGACGCTTGGTTTGGGTCTCTTGTGAGCGCAGACGCCAAACACGGATTCGTACTTTGCTATTTTCTCCCGAATGGTATTTTCTACACGCTGCAGATGAGCTATAGAACTGCTCAGCACAGCAATGGGATTTCACTAGACGCTTGAGATCAGTCTGCTATCAGCGCTCGGGCTGGAAAACTATTCGTTCTCTGCTTATTCTTTGGACATAATATATGGCCAGGAAGCTCTACGAGTCCCCCGGCGGTAAGAAAGGTTGACGGTTTACCGCCGGCGCCAAGTAACTCGTAGAGCTTCCCTTAGCTAGTTGCTGGAAGCTTAAGAGTAATTCTGGGGCGCTGGAGAGCTAGTTGGCAAGAAAAATATTGACGGACCTTTTGATGACTTTTGCTCGGTTGAAAATTTTGTTCTCGAAATTCAACCGTTCGTTAGAGCTCTAGTGTTTTTCCCACCATATTCGATCTTATTCCCGTTCGCCGTCTTGATCCCAGCTCGATCGGGTAGATATTACTGCCAAAAAGCATGGCGGCGGGATCGACTGTTTCGCGCCATCTTGACAGGCATTGTCGTTTTTTTTTTGTACTTCACTTGAGCTGTAGGACAGCTACAGAGGTGATGCTTACAGAAACCCCCTTAGAATCATCAGACGCGTTCGTCTGTTGCATCCAGAGGTCTGAACTCGGTCTGCTACTCGAGCTAGGTCCGCGAACGCGGAGTGGAGCTAGTACCTCGTAGAGCTCTTCGTAACTCGTAGAGCTTCCCTCATCTAGTTGCTGGAAGCTTAAGACTTAACTCGTAGAGCTTCCCTTAGCTAGTTGCTGGAAGCTTAAAAGTAATACCTCGTAGAGCTCTTCGTCATCGATGAGCTAAGAGGAATTCCGGCGCGGGGTGGAGCTAGTTCGTCGACCCGACCAGAAGAGACAATGTGACAACTTTGGGTAGGTTTTGCTAAGATTTGAAAGATATTTGACCATTCATTTTGAGAAAGCAGATGCTTCGCACCTGTAGTGGGTTATGCCGCGTCTGCCAGTAAAATTCTTAGGTCTCTAGCTTCAAGATTACTATCAAAACACTTGGAACCGACTTTGGATGAAAATCGAAAAAACGTGATCTTTCGAATTTTTCGGCTCTCGCTTCAGAAGCTACCTTCATTCCGAGGAGCGCTCTGCAAGAAAAGAGCTCTACGAGGTGCCCGGCGGTAACCTGGTTGAGCAGAGTTTACCTCCTGCTCAGCCAGGCCTCACCGCTGGGGTCCCCCTCGTCTCGAGCTGCATTGTGCAGTAAGGAGTCTATGGTTCCTCATACTGTACACGGTGCTTCAGTGTCTGTTTTGCCTGAGTACCGTACACGTTCATTGATTGTCGGAGTGCACATTGACTGTTCAGATTGTCGGAGTACCGTACGCCTTCATTGAGTGTCGAAGGCCTGTACACATTCTTTGTCGTCGGATTACACATTGACAGTCCAGATCGTTGGAGTACCGTTTACTTCTTGTGAGGACATTAATTTCTTGTGAGGACATTTGTACTTTCATGTGAGGACATCTGTACTTCTTGTGAGGACATCTGTTCGACACGACGACAGATTCTAAGCGTTCGCTGAGGACATCAATTTCTTGGAACAGTGGGGGTTTCCAGAGGAGTGCAAGTATTCGAACACCGTCACTTTCGCAGCGATGTCTCAGCAAAACCCAGCAGGTGAGCCCTGTTCTAAGAAGAGTAAGGCTGAGGGTGAGGATGAGGATATGATTCAGGCAAGCAGTGAGGAGGAGGAGCAGTTCGGGGAATTTGATGACGGCAATCCTATGAAGCAACAGTTTGCTATGATGAAGGCTATGCTAGCTAAACAGAACACTCAGAAGAAAAGAATTTCACGGATTGAGCAGGATGTGAAACGGATCGACCAGCGTGGTGAGAAGAATGAGGCTGACATCGCAGCTATGCAGCAGCAGATCCGTTCGCTTCAGCAGAAGGGTCCACCCAGTGATGCAGGATCAGGGTCCACGGATGCTTGGAGTAACTATGCGGGCCCTGCGGGCTCCTCTGCTACGGCCACTGCTCCCAGGTATGGTAATCGTACGCCAGTTCGCGAACGGAATCGAGTGCGGGAGGATTTCGCACCGACCTTCATCCAACTCACAGGTTGGGCACGAGGTGGAGTCGGCAATCTCAAGACTCGTTCATCGGATATGCTCTCCTGGGATCACTCTCTGCCTGTCATTCGTAAATTTGTCCGTGGCACAGGAAAGATGACTGAGGAGCATTTCGACATGGGTAGGATCGAGCGGGAGCACAAAAATAAACCATATGGTCTTTATCGTATACGATTCTATGTTATAAGTGGCAAGTTGACGAACGATGAAATTTGGGAGATACGCAATTCTTGGGCCGTCGAGCTTGAGAATGACACGCACGACTTGAAGCAAATCACTCCCATCCTGGCCAACAAGCGTCTCGGCGTATCCTGTGAACCAGCACCCTGGAAGCAACCACATGTATCTGCCGTGGGTCGTTGTCAAGCTATCTTTGCTACTATCAGGAGTGGCTCCCAGTGGCTGAAGGGTGAGATGGGTCTTCCTGTCAGCTATGTGTGGGGCTACCCTTCGGCCACGACGCCGAAGACGGATGGAGTATGCATTGCCGCTTTTGATCCTAACTTGGGGTGGAAGGTGGATGCCGAGCTGCTGCGTAAGGTCGATGACAAGTTGGATTGCGAGGCCTTTCAGGCCAAGCTCAACATTCGTACCTGGTGAAGGTGCCATGGCGCCATCGTGGGCACGTATAACGTGAGGCGCTGTGGCAGCATGAACAGCCACGACTTGCTTGCTCAGATCAAGACCTCGAATTCGAAAGTTCTCGCTTTGCAGGAGTGCCAGAACCTTGGTGTAAGTAGGTGCTCTGAACATGGTTTCACTTTTAACTCTTTCTAATAATGGGAAGGCGGGGGTTCTCTACAAGAGGGTGTGGAGAGCCTCCATACGTGAATGCATCAGGGGTAATCGTTATGTCGTTCTCGTGTTTCAGTCGTTGATTGTTGCCAGCTTGTACTTACCACATGCGCCGAAAAAAGGGGATCACAATATCTT